AACTAAATTGCTCTCACTTGGCACCATATGGTCGGGTAGCGTATCAGGCGCGTGTTCACCAGCTCACATGGATCTGAAACAGGCACCATTGAGCCGTAGTGGACCTCAGCAACATCGATGTCCACTGGATTCCAGTCTATTCCAGTGGACTTCACTGGCTCCAAGAGCATGCCAAGACCCATTGCGGGCCGATGGAGATTGTTGCATAGCGTTGTTCGATATCTTATTCCCACTATCAGAATGATGGGTATTGTAGGCACTTCAAACCTCCAAATGTTGTGATGGGAGCCCCATTCGTCGACATCATGATTGCCTATCAGGTGACTTCCTTGTATGGCAGTTTGCATCAATAAATGGTGTTGGCCGACACTTCGCATCAAAGTCCCTCCTTTGTATGGTAGTTTGCATCAATCAATGGTCGTCAACCGCTGTTTGGGTCCTCCGCACGACCGTCGCTAGCCCGGCCGTCGCTGTTTCTCTCTTGGTTTCTCTGCGCCGGAATGATGCTTTTCCTGATGGACTGAATGTTGTGCTTGGGGGGTCTTTTTGATGTAATCAGTTGATCGTCATCCATACTCTTTCCTGCAATTCTCCCCAAATTCTCCCTGGGTCCTGGGAGGCCTGAGACTGATCTTTATGTGTCCTGGCCTTTGGTGTGTCTCATCTCTAGCTTCACCCTGCTTTGCACAGCGTCCAGTTCCGGCCAGCATGCGCATACATACTTTGATTTACTGATGTTTCCGTGGAGGCCCAATGTGAGCTGGTTGACGCGCGCGCCAGCGCGCGGCGACCGAGCGAACCTTTGGGCTGGAACCCCGTCAACTTTTTGGATTGTTCTCTTGCCGTAAAATCAACCTGCCCAAATGACTTGTCTTTTCTGCCACCTTGTGTACAACCTTTTTTCGACAATTATCTCAGACAGAACTACTCCTCAGTTCACAAATTTCATGCAAATATTCCCAGCCTCGCAAGTTGTAGTTTATTTCCCTTCACCATGCACATCATTATTTTCCCACAGATACAAGTCTGTTACCCCACAAATTTCAATTTTTGTACTGCCCGGTTTCGCTGCAACTCACGGAAAGGCATGCGAGAGTCGTTCGCAGCACCTCGAAGAAATGATTGTACACGTTGTGCACCTCTATGAAGTCACAGTCATCCTTTTTCATAGGAATTCTCAGTGCAGTTCACGTTAACGTCCCAGTTTGGTCCTATTTTGGTCCTATTTTGAGTTTTTCCCTGCGTGGCGCCTTGCACATGTCCTCGGTCATGCACCCTTGTTCAAATTTCAGGCAGAGCCTCAGTCCAGCTTCAGAGTCAAATTTCTATTGTCCCGCCATTCCATCTCCAGTAGGTCTCGACTAGGGCTTCAACCGGTCCGTCTGACGGGATGGCCGTCGCAAAAACGGCTGTCACTGGGACCAAAACGGGCCTACCCGGCCGTCGGCGTAAAATCTGGGATTGCCTGACGGACGGGTCCCGCCCATCAACCCGTCGACGGCCGTCGCGACGGGTTTTGCCACTAGACTTTGATTGGTGGGCATTTTCTCGCATCTGTGGGTAAATTCAGCTTGAATCTTTGTCGAAAATATGTTGAAAAAATCAAGTAAGGTCGATCAGACCCCCCCCACCATACTTTCAACCTGTAACGCTGTGAGTCGCAATAACGTTGACAAGTTGCACATCCCATATGTGGACCAAGCTCAATATTAACCCATAAATTTCAGGTTCCTTGGTGGCCAGCATAGTGCCATGCAAGCATTATGCAGCCTGAGGTCCCCCATGCCCATTTGTCGATACTCACGCGAGTATCACGAATGAACATATCTGCATGGCCTCTCAAAGAACCCCGAGATGCCTGAGCCTGCAGTTGCAGAATCAATACTGAAGAAAGAACCTGTTTCAGTGTCGCCACATAATAAATACATGGGTACGATACCTTCAATTACACTGAAATTTCATCATGATCTTGCCAGAAAGCCCAATATCGCAGCAGTATTGCTAATCAACGCGTCGACCCGGCCGTCTCAAAATCTTCCTCAGAGCTTGAACGGCCGGGTGCCGTCCCGTCGTGACAGGCCATCAACCCGTCAACAAGCTGGGTGGGTCGAAGCCCTAGTCTCGACAATACTTGTGGATGAGTGCTGCTTTCTTCTCGCAAATTGATTTCACAAATACCTTCAAGATTCCTCCAAGGTGGATATCATGTTTCCGTGGAGGCCCAATGTGAGCTGGTTGACGCGCGCGCTGGCGCGCGCGGCGACCGAGCGAACCTTTGGGCTGGAACCCTTTCATTTTTTTTGATCATTCCCGTGCCCCAAAATCAACTTGCCAAAATGGTTCCTATTTCTCCAAACCTTCCTTTGCCAACTTCCATCCTCTTGTTTCACATTTTACTAGCATTGTCCACGCCTGGCCAGCGGGTTCGATGTTAAAAAAAGTAACCCTCCTCTGCATTCATCTTGATGAGCATTCTATCACCATCACCACGCTTGGACAGCCTGTTCAGCACCGATGCACAATATAAAAAAGTAAATTCCCCTCTGCGAAATTCCCTCGTAACAATGTTTTTCAACAGCTCCAGCAATTGGAATACGCAATTGGTGTTACAGCTCATTCTAAAATGGAGTACAAGTCAATCGGCACTTGGCATCTGTACGGTCGGTCCAGGAAAGCACAACATTCTGTTGTAGATTTTTTCCCCGTATTCTGATGAATGAGCCTGAACTTGATGAGAGGGCTCAAACTTCTCAGTTAATTTTAGCTACTGCTGCCTTCTCATATGTGGTCCTTGTGCAGCACTTCCCACGATAGTGGGCTCTGCCGCGCAGCGGGCCTATAGTTGTTATCTTGCCGGTTGCTGGGACACATTGCCAAACAATATCTGCTGATGTCCACCAGCGGCCGCCAAGGCGGCCAGTGGTGGCCGCCAACGACTCTTCCACTTCCGGGTATATAACTCGTCCCGGGCGCCTCCGTCGTGGATAAAAGAAGGGTGATGTATTGCCGAAATATCTGTCCCTCCCCCTCCGCGCTTATGTGCTTTGTTGCAAGCCTGTAGGTGAATATTGGCACCGCAATTATAATCTGTTCAAACCTGTTTAAACGATCCCAGGTCAAGACGAAACCATGGCGGTCCACAATTTGACCTAATTCAACCTCTGCAATCATTGTTGGGGGAAGGCTCCTGTGTCTCTCCCTGATCCTGCTCTCACCGTCATTTTGGCTATCTATATTTTCTATTGGTGCTTCTTCACTGGCTACCGCCCTGACTTCGATTCCGCATGTCATGTTTATTCATATCTTTGGGATATCGCGCCGCTGGCATCCAATCATCAAAGCCGAAAAAGTTTGTTCTTGGATTTTCTTGGGTCTTTCCGCCCTGGAATTCCCCATGGCTTGCTTGAACGCTGGGTCTTTATCCTCCGATTCGCACTGCACAAATTCTCTTATTCAAATGTTGGAATTTACATACCAGCATATTGTATCACATCCTCATTTCCGCATTCTCAATTTTAATTCTCGTTAGATGACTGCCGGAGCGTAGCGAAGGCATGCCTTGTGTACATAGCTATTTCTGTCTACTTATGTCCGCGGTCTAGCCCCGCTCAATCAAAATTGTTCAACGATATCCTCTACCAGGCAGCGATGTCTCCGGGGGTGTTACGCGAGCAGCTGGCAAAGGCTTTTCCTGCGATGAGAGACGGGCACAAACACATCCTTTGGGAGGCTCTGATGGAATATGCCAGACTCGACTTTCACTGAGAGTACGTTCCTTGATACTTGTACCGAATACAGCGAATTCTGCAGCGTAGCAATCCCGGACGAAGTGTATATATAAGGTCGGAAAAGTGGGAGTGAAGAACAAGGGAGGGATAGAAAAACGACTCGCCTTCCTGCGCTCATCGAGAGACGGGTGGCGAATGCTCCCCCGTGCGCGACATCCACTCCCTCGTCCAAGTTGCCTCTATGCCGCACCGGCCATTTTCATCGTCCTGTTCTTTGCGCGCTTGTTGATGCCTGGATGAGCGCCCATCGTCGAGTCGACAGCGAGCGGGAGGGCCTGAAGGCCAAAATGCACAGACCAATCAAAGTTCACTCACCCTCGTGCGCCACCAGATACCCCGGTACTGCCTTCAAGCCACCAAGATTTCTCGACGCCTGTGATGTATATGGGACCTCTGAGCAACACAGTCTCAGCACACTCTGAGCCGCGACAGTTCGGAATTACAGCACTCGGCCGGGCCTCGGCCGTATGATTTCCACGGTTCAGTTCTCATGGGTTTTCGGAGTCAGAACACTGCCGACTCGACTTCAGTGGATTTCCGTAGAAGGTAGTAGAATGTTAGTGTATATAAAGGGAGTGTTCCCTGCATGTTGATTATCCTACTTTTGCACAATCTATCATCACCTGAAGCACACTTGCTCTCATTCGGAACCTTCCGCCGGCTCACTTTACTGTGACGCTATACGCTCATGTTATTTGACAGTACAGCAGTCCTAAGGATGCTATGCACTATTCTGGTATTCGTGTCCAGCGAAGACTCGCTGTCGTTGTCCGGCTGCTTAAGGAAGAGTCTGGGTGGACTGAATTGTTTATGGGGATTCTTGATCTTATATTATTTAAGGTGTTCGGTCGCCGAATGCCCATTTCTTTTACAACGCCTCGCTTGTAGTCCTCCTCGCCATCCATCTAGGACCTTGTCGTCGTAGCGTTTGAGTGGCGTCGATGTAGCATGCTCGTCGCTCGCGCGCAGCTTACTGCTACTGGGACGTCCCACGGCGAAGGGGAAAAGCACGTTGCTATCTAAACCCCGAGCTGGGATGGAACCATCTTCTCCCGAGAGAAAGATGCTTTGTCAAGCGTCCTATAGTTCTCGCAGACGCATTGACCACAATGCTATCCGGACACGATACGAGCAAGACGAAGCACGCATATATGCTCTCGTTTCAAACCCGCTCGGCAGAACTCGCACGAAGGAAAAAGTACTACCCCTCTAAGCCCCGAGCCGGAATCGAACCAGCGTCTCCTGCGAAGCAATCTCGCTAAGCGTTTCACAGACGCATTAACCAATAATGCTATCAAGGCTCGATACGAGTACAAGACGTGGCAGACATAGATGGCATCCCGACGAAAACGCTCGGCCAACTTGTCACGCAGGGAAAAGACTCCTTCTTTAAGACAAAAGTCCCGAGCTGGAATGCGTGTCCTGCAGAAGATATTTTAGAACCTAGCAGGCGCATCACCTGGTATGCTATCGGGATGATATATGGCTCAGCAGGAAGGGTATAAGGCATGCCGAGGCGTCTCGGCAAACTCACTCGGCAAACTCTTTTGGGAGAAAAACATTATTTCATACGCTGAAAGGCCCGAGCCGGAGTTGAGCCGGCGTCATCTACAGAACGACAATCCGTCAAGTATTGGAGATGCATTATCCACTATGCTACCGGCGTGGTGTGGTTGGCAGTTGCCTACAGATCCATGCGGTAGTTTATGGTTGTTAGGTTCGGATGTTGTAGGTTAGTCTAGGGTTAGGGTTTTCTGCTTCTCCTCCCATCCCGCTGCGAGCCCCGTTGGCTCATCTCCGGCCCCCGAGACCTCGAGCGGTTTTCACCGGGACACGACGAGACACGGCGGCCTCGGCAAACGCACTCGGTAAAGCCATTATTCAAACAAAAAAAAAAAAAAAAACTTCAGCGACAACTTATACCCCGAGCTAGAGTCGAACTAGAGTCGGCCGCGGGAACCCATTCACACATATGTGTAAGACTCGCAGTCGCATTACCACTATGCTATCGAGGCGCACTATAACGGGCTAACAAACAGCTATACTTAACAACTGAGGAGCTCTCGGCAAACCATTCTCGGGTAAGGAAAAAAAAAAGGAGTATCCCGGCCAGGAGTCCAACTTTTGTTAAGAAACCGAGGCCGACATCGACCTAAGCTGTGCAATTGGGAGAAAAGGCTCGGCAAACTCGCCTCGCGCCCTCAACAAACCGTTCTCGGGAAAACGGGCAGGTGTGCTGGATTCCACGTGCACAACACCTCTCGACAAGCTCACTATTGACGGTTGTCCGATTGTCAATCGACTTTTGATTCCAACGATTCGGCAACTCGCTCCAGATCTCCCTCACCTGTTCCTAGCGATGTCAAAAAATGTTTGGCCGTTACGAGAAGGGATGGATCAGGTTCACTCCGGAATACTATGTGGGAGGCACCTTCGACCGTCTGGCACACGAACAGCGTACAATCCTCCCTTCTACCGATGACTTCAGTGAGGGCTCGGCTCGCACACGCTAAACATGCACTACCACCCAACCAGTACCTCCGAGTCATATACGAACAAACAAGAACGGAACGCGACAACACCGAGTCATTCATCAAAAAGTACTTGCTGTGATGCCGGAGTGGAACAAGTTGTGATGCGAGAGGTTCGGAAAGATGGGGCGGCTTGTAGGCGGGCGAAATTTCGACGAGCCTGGCCGACGCTCCAACGAGAGAAGGGCGAAGCGGCGCGTTCCCGACGGGGGAAAACCGCGGCGAAGAAAAAACGCGCTCAACAACATTCATCAAACACGGAACTGGAGTTCAGCATTGCCAAAATCCAGGCAACGACCTCTACACTCCTGCTTCGCGTCTGTGGGGACGTCCTAAAGGACGAGATACTTGCCAAGAAGCTGTGGAAGGACACGAATACGGTCGCTGTGCGAAAGGAATTAGTACTTGAAGCCCGGGAACGTGAACTTCAACGGCGGTAAGTAAGAGTCCTCTCCGAATGTGATCAATCAACACAGTAACTCCAACAGGGCAATGCATGCGATTCATCAAACCCGGACATGGAGAACGACTCCGAGGAGTCCACAAGCATCGCTGAGTTTGGATATTGTGCAGGCGACGATGAGGAATGGGAAGACATCGAACAAATCATGTATTTCGGCTAAGATTGTCGATTTGACTAGTGGGCCTCGCGGGAATCGATGTATTGAATGAGTTCGCCTGCCAAGCCCAGTGCACGCAAGCCTCATAGAGAGCAGTACACGCCGCAACATGTTATTTTGTCGCATTGGTAGGGGCAGAAAATGACAAATATGCCAGATCGATCATACGCAGTGCCGGTCCCCACTTACATAGTAGACTGGCTGTTCCAATTTTGGGACCGTGTCAGTATAAGTTTCTTTCCCTCCTCCCTTCTCAGGCAACGGAGATCCAAGAGATGAGGGGTCGGTTCGGATGCGGGTCGGCGTATACTAAGAGCAGTGAGAGTAGAAGCTATCGAGGGATTCTGATAAGGCGTCTAAGAGGATGATGGGTTCACGAAATCGCTCATAATCCTTACATAATAGCACTCAGCGGAGGAGGGGTATTACACTCGCCTGGTCCACAACATCAACAACGAGTTTATGCGTCGTGAGCTATACTGGCCATCGAGGAACACGCCGTACTTCTCAGCTTCGTGACCGTCAAACAGACAGCTACTGCTCTACAACGAAAATACAACAGCACATATGTATACATATACACGCTACCCTCTGTACTTCAACACACACGGAATGTCCTCTTACCCCAGACCTCGAACCCTCAACCTCTGAACAAGATCTCTCCCTCAGCTCATGGTGTTATCTTCGGAGGAGCTCGAGTCGCTGCGGCTGCGAATAGACTGGGGGCCCTTTCGTCGTCCACGTTTGGCGGAAGGCGCTTCCTCCTCGGTAGACGGCGACCCGCGGCGACGGCGACGGCTCGGGGGCGGCTCGGGCCGATCTTCTTCATCGCCAGACGGCTCGGGAGACTGATCAGGAGTGGGCTCGTCCTCGTTGTCGCCGTCGTCGAGCCGCTCGGGAGAGTGATCAGGGGTGGGCTCGTCCTCGTTGTCACCGTCGTCGGACCGCTCGGGGCGGCGACGCCTTCGACGGCTTGATCGTCTTTTGGCGTGCGGCGAACTTGACACGATACCTGCACATGGCGCACGCCATTTGCAACACGGCGTCCTGCGAAGAACCGAAGAGCGTCAGAGGAGCAAGCAGCGGAGGCTAGTAACCACACGAACCGTGGAGGCGTCCGCAAAGGTGATCGGCCCGGCAGTGACCCGGATAACCAGCATGCCTTCGAAGTGTGATCTCAGCCGCGCTGCCGAGTGCAGGGCGAACACCCAGTCCAGGTAACGATCCGGTTCGAGTGCCAATGGCTGTCCGTATGGGCCGCTCCCCTGGCTAATGGCACGATAGCTGGACACCTCCCACGCCGGAAATAAGGCCACGAAGGCCTGCAGCACGACTAAATCGCGCAGAATCGTGGGGCTGTTCACCGCGGGGAAGTGGGCGGAGCGGGCTTCGCCTGGAGACAGAGGGTCAATTTCGAGCGGGAACCTAGATGGAAAACACGAACCGAGGACGATTTTGTCCACCCAGGCGATGAACATGCGCACGAGGATCCGATGAGCATACGCGTGGTCCGCGTTGGTGGTCTCGTCGTCCGTCGCCACCTGGTGGAGGAGGTTGTACACCGCCAGTCGGATCTGGTTTTGACCCCGTGGGACCCAGTGTATTGAAATAAAAACCGTGTCGCACGTTTTTGGATGTACCCGTCACTTGCGACATTATTGATTCCGCGATGGGCGTGAATCCACTGACACCTGGTACCGGGGTGGTGAATCCCGGGTCGCGGGTTGATTCCCACATGTCACCAGGCACTGCGTTCCCGGGCCGCGGAGACAGAGGCTGTGGCCGGCTATCGATATGTGTCTCGTTGCCGAAACGCAGTCTGTCTCGATGAGCTCAACACACCTCTGAGCCTTCGGCGCGGTCGTCTAGACGCACCTGTGTCTCTGCGCCTCGATCTGCACCTCAGATGCCCATTTCACCCCTGGCGCTCTCCATCTGGTCCATTTTCAGCGTGGGACCACGACCAACGCCTCATGGCAACCGTGGGTAATTTTCCGGTCGTTTTTGGTTCAAAACTAATTATAAATGGCGAAGCCGATGGTTAAGCTGTCCGATGTCTTCCGATACCCGCAACCGCCGCTGAACGTGTTTATTTCGGGACAATGCATCATCTGTGTCATCGGGAATCGTTAAATGGGTACTTCTGGAGTATTAGAGACCCGTATTCCTCCTTTTCAACCAAAACCCCAGGTAGAGAGACACACCTACACAGACGATCTGTGTCGAGGTGTGTCGCGACGTCTCGACACAGCCTCTGTCTCCGGGGCCTGGGAACGCAGTGAGGGTCCAGACGAGAAAGAGGAGACCGGAGACGGTGCCAATGAGTGCTGATGTCAGCGACGGCGCGCGCGTCATCGACGACGCGAACAGCTTCCCGACTGGAACTTGAAGGAAGGAAGGAAGGATGATAATCACCACCACCTCCATGTCCAGATCGGATCCGGAGCCAGGTCGAGTGGACGCAGGTCCGAGTCGATCGAGAGTGAGACTGCAGCGAAAGAAATGCAAGGGGCGCAATTGGAGCAGATCGAGAATCGAGAATCGAAACTGAATTGGATGAAGTGAATGAACGGAATGGAAGGAAACGCGAGGCGATGGAGGTAGATGTAACGCGAGGCGATGAAGGGAGATGCAGCAAACAAGCGAGGGAAAATGCAAACAAGCGAGGGACACAATGGGTGGGTGGAGACCAAGTACGCGAACGCAGGCAGAGAGCGAATGGGATGGATATCAAGGACAGACGGGGGCAGTTGAGACGATACGCATGCATGTGGTGGAAGGGCGTGTCCAGTGGAAGGAAAGCAGAAGAGCACGTGCGGGAGAAGGAAGGTAGAAGAAATTTATCGGACATTGGTGTGGACATTTGACATTGTTATTGATACTGGCGTCGCTGGCGCTGGTAGGGTGGCGATTATATTCATTCGTGTGTGTAGTCGTACGGGTACCATGGCGTGATGCAGGGTTTGTCAAGAAATGCGGGATAATACGGTGGGTGCAAGATAACTGCAGCTGTGAAAAAGGTACCAAACAAGCGTCAGTAATGGAGAGGAAAACAGCACGATGACACACACCAATATGCGAGAGACGAGGACGGATGGTGTAGAGTACAATGATACAGCAGAGCTCAATTACGCACGACGGCGCGCCGCGTATATTTCCCCGCGCGGCGGCGCTCGTTGTACGGAATGGGGCGGCGCCACGCCTCGTTTGGGTCGTCCGTGTCCCCGCCAGGCGTGAAGGGGGAGTCGCCCGCGGCGGGGTCGGGGGTGCGGCGGCCGACGGAGGACACGTGGTGCGGGGGGTGGGCGTGCGCGTGAGGGTGGGCATGGGGGTGGGGCGCGGGGGGGAAGACGGGAGTGGCGGGGACGGAGGCGGACATGGACGCGGACGGGCCGCGGGCGTGGGTGGGCTGCGGCGGGGCGGCGTAGAGCGCGGGGCTGGGGGCGGGGGCGGGGGAGTTCGTGCTGCTGCTCGCTTGTGCGCAGGGCTGACGGGCCCAGGGCCGTGCTTGGGCGGGGGCTTTGGGGTCTGGGTCTGTGGAGCCGGGCTGGAGGTCGACGTCGACGCGGACGCGGATGATCTCCTTGCCAGCCCGGGCGAAGAAGGCACGCTCCTGGCATTGGAAGTAGGCTGAGGTGGGGCCGGGCCGCATTTCCGAGGAGTTGTCGGGGGGCACAGCAGGAAACATGGCCATCAGGTCGTGGCCGGTGGGTGGCGCGGGGTATCGTCGCGGCGGCATGTCGGGGACGCGAGTCACGTCGACGTCTGGGGAAGTTTAGACGATGATGAAGAAAAGAGAGAGAACACGCACCACGGAGAGAGCTGGGGGACAGCGGACGGCGCGAGCGAGTGGCGGGTGGCGGG